CTGAAAAAACAGGAGTTGGCTGTTGATAGAAGCCTGGAGCGTAGTTCTTTCCAATTTAAAGGAAATGCTGACAGGAACTGAGCAGGCGCTGCTGCCTCTCAAGGTGTCCGCGTGCGTCTCGTCCCCATGAGGGGAGGCGCGTCCCGTGGAGCCGAGGAGCTGCCTCCCCGAGAGCCGTCGTGCCCTCGGGACGGACGGGGAGCCCCCCGACCCGCCCCAGATCTGCCTCTTCGCCATCCCGCCTACGAACGCGCTTGGTACAATCCCTAGGATGAAGTCGGTGGCTGTTTTTATCTTAAGGAATTCGCAGGAAAAAAAGCAAATGTTCAGAAGCTGAGAGGGATGCTTTAATAAGTCTCTCTTTGGAGCAACGTAGGAAAAATTGGTTTAATAACATAAACATTTTAAATGGGAAAACTTAGTATTTAACAAAATTTTGATCCAAGCCCTCATGAGAAGAATGACATTAAATTCTAAATTGAATTGAAAAACTCTCTGTTTTGGGTTTGTATTAAAGACAGACAGATTACCTATCCAACTAGTTCCTAGTTCCATCCTAATGAGTGTGTTGAGAAGTGTTTCTTCCCTTTCTTTTTTTTTAAAAGGTTTTTCTCCTGTGCTTAAGCCTGAGTCATTCTAAAGTCTTAAGTATTCTTAGTATTTTTAGTTGCGTAATAATCTCAGTAATCTTGAAGTTTGCTTTGAGACAGTGAATTTCCTTTTGTTAATTAGCAAGTGAGAGGCAGCAGGAGTGCAGTACTTAGGGATAAATTTTGATAAAGTCCTGGGTTTTGACCCAGATGATCAGGCATGAATCTAATACTCCTTGTAATAAATCTAATACTAGTATTTTAGTATTAGTGTTTTGAAATTATCATTTCCTATTACCACTATAAATAGTGCAAGGAAAATACCTATTTTCTATAATGCTCTAAACACTTGTGTTATGAATATCTTCCTTTACAGAACAAAAGGCTCACTTTGACTTCAGTAGACAATTAAAACTCTTGTTTGATAACAAAACAAGAAACAGTAGATTTGATTTTGGTGTGTGGGTTTTTTTTTTTCTTTTGATGCAAACGTAAGTCTTTCAAAAGCATATAAAAGCAAGTTATTCTGGTTCTCTTCTGGTTTAATTCTATTTCTAGTGGTACAGCTATGCAAGTTTTTTTTCCGCTGTGAAGATTCCCTACTTTTTAATGAACATAAATGCCCGCAACAGTAACACAGTATTTCATTGTTTATGAAATTATGTAACTCAGTTGTTGTTTTTTAACTCAGTTAAAAATGTTAATGTAACTCAGTTGATGTTTTTTATCATCAGTGTTAAGATGTTAAGTCTCCTGGCTTAACAATCAAATATGGAATTTTTCTCTGATAAAGGAAGCTGATCCAATTTGTTCATAACATATTCTGGAACAATATCAGTGTGCTTAAACTAGAAAGAAAGCTGGCAAAATCTGTGTTATTTGAGTAGGATCTTGGTAGTCATATTGTGTTATTAATAATTCTGTGATATTTATATGTGAAAATGTTGCTTATGGCTTTTGGATTACCCTTTCTGGGAAGCGGTGAGAAAAATATGTATGTGCATTTTCATTACAATATAAAATCTTAGATGAGAGTGATCCAGGTAGAGGCTGTCTGTCTAATCCTATGGTGAGCAGCAGTGTAAAGGAATTGAGTTTGCTGTCAGATAAACTTGTTAGACAGACACATTTTGACACCAGCTTGTGTAGATGTTAAAAGTGGGCCACATTAGTAGACCAGTAGAGCTGAACACCTGCTTTCTTGTTTGTCTTTCTCTTCTTATCTGAGAGGTCCTGACTACTTAAACTTAAATATATATATATTTTTTCCTATGGAACACTTCCTGATACTGTCTAAAAATGGTAATACTCTCATCTTCACAGCATTTTGTAAATAGAGTTAGAGAGTGTCTGGATTTTAAATAAGTAAGACTATTTTTGTTTATTCTGAAACATAAATTGCTAGAGGATGTGTGATTATTGGCAAGTTAATGTTTGGGAAACACGTTTGGTATTTTATAGATGATAAAGTCAGTACTCACCTTCACTTGCTGATGGAGAATTCAGAACAGAATTTTCATGTGGCGCTGCCCTGAAAACGAAATAAACACCAGATTTCCTCTCCTTTTCTGCGTTAGGTGCTTCCTTCATGGTCTGTGTGGGCCAGTTCGCTCGATATTTTTGTTTCCCCTCGGATTCCCTCGACCGAGTTCTCAGTGCGCGGTGTCTCCCTGCGGTGCTGCTGCTGGCGGGGCTGCTCTGTCCCTTCTGCTCTTGTTTGTGCAGGGACACGTCTGGTCTAAAGGTGCCCTGGCTTCCAGAGAAAATCCTAGAGGAAACAGTGTCCCTCTCCTCCCCTCTCACTCACCTCCTGTTGGACGCGGTACTGCTGCAGCATCCCCGCTACGTGCTGCTCTGTGTGTGCCAGTGATGCTGTGAGTGATTAATGTTAGCACTTCGGTGACATCAGCAACTAGCAACTAGGTCTTTTTTTTTTTTCTTTTAAGCAGGGGAGGGAGCAAGCACAGCTTAAAAAATAGCCAGCTCCCTCTCCTTTTCCTTCCCTCGCTCCCCACCAGCCCTGTCAGTGGCTCCTTCCCTGGGAGCTTTATGTTTCTGGGTGTCATGGGGGGCAGGCAGTGATGGCTTGTGCTGGTGGTTTTTTAAATCCTCTATCACTGTTCATAAAGCTCTGCTAATCCAGTGTTTACACAGGTAGACCTTTTTAGATGCTTCCCCAGTAACGTTACTTTAACGAAAGATTTTTTTAAAAAATTTTTATTTTAGATTCATCAAGTTGTTGTTGTGTTTGGGGAACTTTTTATGCTGAAGTAGCGATTTAAGGGTTTCCTTTTCTATGACAAATTTTGGTGTGTGAAGGGGCATCCCCTTCGCTTAATCTGTGTTGTAGTAGAATGAGAAGAACTCAGGCCAGGAAATTTCTTTAATTTGTTGGAGTAAAATACTCTTTACACTATAACTTTCTGTAGCTGGCATAGGTGGTTTGGATACATTTGTTGTATTGTGTTGCCTGTTGAAACACCAAAAGCAAAAGATGAAATCTCATCTTTCATGGGTAACTTTATAAAATTCTCAGTATAACAAGGCATCCATGCGTTTTTTTCATAGGTTTTACCAGTTCTCTTCCCATTTGATATCCCAGAACCATTTCTGTGAACAGAAGGCTATATAAATACATGTTGTACTTGAGGGACTGCAGCTTTAGGCAGTCAGCCAGGTGTATTTGTCTGGCATTTAGCCACTTGGTCAGCTCTGATCTCATAGCAAGGCCGTGGCGTCACGTATGGGTTCTCATCATCTCCCAAACAGCTATTTCAGTTTGTGTTCCCAGGAAAGATGGCTGAGAATTTCAAAACATCATGTCCCTGCAGAATCAACACAAGTGCACCATCCTTAGAACGGATTTCGCGGCGTAACAGAAAGGCTGAAGCAGGAAGGCACCTCTGGAGCTCATGTGGTGCAAACATCCTGCTTGGGCACGGTCGCCTGGAGCGCCTTGCCCAGGGCCACGTCCTCTCGTCCCGTCATCGGGCACCATGGAGAAGAGCCTGGCCCATCCCCTCGGCACCTTCCCTGCAGATACTTCACCACCCTGCCGAGGTGCCCCTGGGTGGCCTCGTCTCTAGGCCGAGCAGTCGCTGCTCTCTCGGCCTTTCCTCTCGTGAGAGAGGCTCTGGCCCTCGGTGGCCCTCGTGGCCCTCGGTTGCGCTTGCTCCCGCAGCACCTTGTCCATCTGCTGCTGGGAGCCCGGAGCCGGGTCGCTTCCCTCGTCCTGCCGGCAGCGCTCTGCCAGCCCAAGATACAGTTCCCGTTCTTTGCCCCCCACACACGTTGTAAATCCCTTTCTTTTATAAGACAAAAATACTCTTAAGAGCTTGGTAGAATTTCATGGCTTGAATTCCTAGTAGTTTCTTCGCTCGGTGCCATGTGGTACGTATTACAGCTATCTAGTTCTGGCTTGCATGGGTAACTGGGGTAGGATCCGCGCTGGAGAGAAAATCAGTGCTCTTCTCCCTGGATACTGATGAAGGGAAGTTCTGTGCGTCACAGCTGACGTCTGAGTTGAAGGTCTCGTAGCCTTGTGTACTCGTATTAGAGATGATGATAACCGTGGAAAAGAAAAGGAAATGCGGCAGAGCCTTCTACAAGGGAGGTTGACAAGATTCCCTTTTAAAAATAACTTTCAGGGCTTTTGGAGAATGACCCATTACACAAATGGTGCACGTTAAGTTAGCACGCTCCCCTTTAATCCCCAACTTAGGCAGCCAGTTTCTCAATCCATCCGCAGCATCAGCCTGCACCGTTTCACTCCCTTTGAAGAAATAACAACACGGCCCAGCACCTGGGTCTATATATTCAGCTCCAGAATAATTTCCAAGAGGCTCCCTGCCAGGCCCAGGTTTGCTTTGATCCCCTGGACAGCAATGGGGTTTGAGCAAGCGAGATCCTTCTTAATTAGGTGCTGGGAGGAGTCACTGCAGAAGCCTATTTTCGTTTAGTTGAGTCTTCAGGGAATTAAAAGGGCTGTCATGAAATGAAGAGTGAAGTCATTTCTTTGAAAATGTTTTGTACATGAAGAGGGAGGGCTGTATAAGCTGAGGGGCTGTGTTGTAAATTTAGAAATCTAAACATTGGCCTGGACTACTTTTGTCCCTTTCTACTTGTGTAAGCAGAAGAATATGAAATAGAGGAAATGTTCGTGGCTTGACAAATACTAGGAGGGAAATATGCCTGGAGAACAAAAATTATTCACAAGTGGTTCTTGCTAAAATTGAGATTTTCGTTGGAATTTCTTACTCGAAAAGACAAAGCTATGTAATAGCAAAATATAAAGCTGTTTTTCCATTTTTTATTTTTTGACATATTTTAAAATACTGCTTGTTTGAGTTTCCTATAAGGATGCGATCGGATGAAATTGTCATTAATCAGATCTGTTTCTCTCCTTTTTAGGCTTTGAATCTGGCGTATTCCAGCATCTACAGCAACTACAGGAATTTCGTTGGCCCGCCTCACTTTAAAGTCATCTGTAGGCTTCTTGGCTATCAGGGCATTGCTGTAGTAATGGAGGAGCTGCTGAAAGTTGTCAAGAGCCTGGTATGTGGACTGTATTTCATTTTCTGCTTATGTGACTTTTGATAGGAATTGTCTTATGACATGTAAAATTTAGGTTTCTAAGTAAAATAAGACACAGATAATACTCACTGAGACATGACTTCCCTTAAGTTCGATATAAGCTATGGCTGAGAGCACCCAACATCTTCAGAAAGCAGTAGAGCAAGTGCCTGGGTGATCCGTGCAGTGTTTGGAAAGTCTCAGTTTCTGTTTTGAAGATGAATTGAATCCGTGCAGGGCTGTGCTGGAAAATCCTTGGTAAACTTCTCTGGACAGGTAAAAGAGCTTCAAGTGAGTTCACTTCTACTTAAAAGTTTTACTGATAATTTACTTTGTTTTTTTTAGAACAGCTGGTGAAGTGTTTTCTGCCTTTTCTAACTTCAGAGCTTTCACTAACACTGTCATTGACAGATGACCCTTAATAACAAGGAAGGTCTAATCTCTGTACTTGATCCAGCAGTGGATGCCATCAAGCTTATTTGGGAGAGAGCTCAGACCAAGTGGTGAACAAGTTACTCATATGGTCTGGTGTATCTGGTGTTAGAAATGGGCTCCTGAAGGAGAAGGATGGGGCTTGGAGTACAAGGGACTTTTAGGAGGAGACTGCAGGACTATTTGTTCACTGTATTATCCATACTTATGTATGCAGTCATCATGTAATTACACTTAAAAATTCAATTTAAGCTACAGAAATGGTCTCCTCCCTACTCCTCCCTGAAAGGAAAATATGATGAAAATAATCAAACCTTACAGCTCTAGCAGTAATAGTCTCACTTCAGACACAAAAATTACAATTTTACCACAGTATTCGAAGTAAACTTTTAAAATGCTGGAAAGGGTGAGGGCTGCTTAAGGGGATCCTGTGATACAGTCATAGAGGAAAGATGCAAACACAGATGCTTTCAGCAGATTTTGACAGGAAGGTTGGTTGGGTGAGCTTGTGGGGTGCACAGCAAATTAAATACCTTCATTCAAGATAATTTGGCATAGGCAGTTTGACCGGGTACAGACATATCTAATGCCGAGGATTTTTGTCCTGTAGCTTTTGAAAACACTCAAATGCAGCTTTCTTTACGAAAACAAGTTAAAGATTGGTTAGACAACAGAGATGATATTTCCTGCAATAAAATACGTAACTCCTTGTATTTCTTTTTTTCTTCCCGGCAGTAGTTGTGATTTTTCTGTAGCAAAAAGCAGCTAATGCTATATGAAGTAAAAATGCAAGTTTTTTCCTTTTTCAAAGTTTCCCCTTTAAAAATGCTGCTTGACAGTGTGATATGCAGGATCTTTAGAACCTGTTCATGCCGTCTGAATACAATTTGTTGTAAAGTCTCTGAGATGATTAACACTAATTTAATAAACACCTGTTTTCTCTTAGCTGCAAGGGACGATTCTTCAGTATGTCAAGACCCTCATGGAAGTGATGCCTAAAATCTGTAGGTTACCGAGACATGAATATGGTTCTCCAGGTTAGTTCATGTTTAATGTAAGCCTTATAACCGGAATGATTAAGTGTTGGGCTTTTGGAAAGGACTGGAAATTTTTAAAACTTGCGTGCTTAGGGCAAATAAAAGGGTGACATCTGTGCATGACAGCGTTATGATATAATTGATTATGAGCTGGGATTTTTCACATTAGTTTCTATTTCTAGTCTTGCTCATAACCATGTCGAGCTTTCTTTCTGCAAGGCAGCTTCTCATTGCAGATTATTTAAATCTCTAATTTAGATAACCTTAGTTCTCTGAGGGGGGAAAAAAATCTTAACTCCCTCTTTTACCCTTATCAGCCACAAGATAGAAGGAGTGATACTGCTAGTGGGGGCAGACTGGTCCTGCCAGAGTGGTGATGCCTGAGGCTTGTGCGGGAGCATCTTAGCCACTTAACAGGAGGTGTGACACTTGCAGAAGAAGAAATGACTTGGAAAGCTGGTTGCCACTACAGAGAAATGATTGCCAATTAGTATTTATCACGTTGTTCTCTGAAATTTCAAAACTGCCCCCCCACCCCGCAAAATATTCCTCCTCCGCAACTTCTAATTAACACAAATGAATCCTTCCATGTGCCACCCACCTCTCGAGTGTCTCTTTTTTTTCCTTTTTTTCCCAGAGTCTCTTAGGTTTATTAAATGCCACTCCAACTGGAATAAGGCTGTTTTTTTCTGCTTCTCACAGCTTGCTTGACATTCATTACCAATCTTAAACGCAATCAAGGACTTGCTAAGTGCTTCCTTCCTCTTTTGCTCCCTGGAGCATAGAAATGGATGAATCATGGTGGTTATCCACATAAAAGTAATCAATCTGAAGTTTTTGTGTACCCCTTACGGCTTGACCCAAAAGCAGTAGGTAGTCTAAAATACAGAGGATGCATCACCAAGGGCTGCCATGCTGCAGGAATCTTACCTGCAAGAATTAGCAAGCTCATAGTCCTTTGCCAGGACTTCTCACCTGTAAGGACAGGGCATTTGGCAGGAGATTCCCAGGGATCCAGGCAGGTGCTTTCTCCTGAGGTTTCAAGGCAATCTCTCCTAGAGGAAAGGGGAACTTACTTGTGCAATGGCAGCCTTCACAGATTTGAGACAAGACCTGAGGATCGGGTCTTGCTGCAGGATCTAAACCTTTTTAAAATCCTCCATCAGTTTCCTGTTTGGCAGAGATTGCAAATTACTTTGGCCTTATATTTACGCTTACAAAAGAAATCCCACATGCTAGATGCTACAGTACTGAGAGATGAGAGTAGTTCTTGCTGTTAGATCTTGTAGATCAAAGCAGTAGAGTTGGAATGGATCTCAAGAACAAAAACCACCTCCTTTTGTGCTCCTCTGCTGCCTCTGTTCCTGACAGCGGTTTTGTCTTGACACAGATGTTTTTCCCATTCTTAAACATCTTCCCAGAGCTTCTCTTCCAAGCAGTGGGAGAGCCAGCCTTTAAGGATACTAAAAGAAGGCAGCCGTGGAAGTTCAGTGCGTTTTCATCCCTCTGACGCCACTGAAGAGCAGAGTTGCTGTGTCTGGAGCCTTTCTGGCACGGAGGTGCCTGCCCTTGACGTAGCTCTGGCTGACGAAGGACAATGTTCCCTTCGATGGCACACGCTGGAGACCACAGCCCTCATGTGGCGCGTTAAGGGAGGGCTCTAACTCCTGCTTCGTTTCACTGCCGCCCTGTCTCTGCGTGCCACGCTCTCCTGTGCAGCACGCTCGTCCTGGCTCACTCGCCCGGTGGTGCGAAAGCGAAGCCGACGGCTGCTCCCACCGGCCGCGCGCGCTCGTCCTGGGCCGTCGTGGGGAGGCGCCGAGCGCTGCTCCTTGGGGCGCGGCTCCTCGGGGAGCTGCTCCTCGGGGCGCTGCTCCTCGGGGCGCTGCT